AAATACGCCGAAGTTAATGTGTACCCGTCGAGGAGCAGCCCATGGTAATCGCTTGGCCGCGAAAGAACCACCAGTGCGGAACAAGCCCTGCAGCGTAGTCGTCCAGACAGACCGGGGAGGGGGGGGCGTTTTACAAAGAGAAGAAATGAGAGCGGCAACATTTGGCAATAATTTCAATTTTTGGGGAAGCGTGGTGCCTCTTAGATAACTCGTAAATACTGTATAGATGTGTAGATCTTAAAGAAGTTGGGGGACGATAAAAATACATATAATCATATGACAAAGAGCTTATAGCGTACTCCCGAGGTAGATACTAGCTAAAAGCCCAGACACGTGTTTCGCGGATGTTTCTGTTGCTGCTGCCGCCTGATACAGTAACGAAAGGTTCGGCTCTTCAGTGGGTCTCCTAGCGTTCCCTACCCGGTTTCTGATATATTACCTCTTAGGATGCTTTCCGATGTAACGATAGTTTATAAGTATCACAGAAGTATCGCATAACCATATAATTCAGTTTTACGGGACCGGCGGTAAAATAAAAGCGTTTTTCTTTAAATGTGACGATAGTGTAGCCACAGAGCTAAATATTTGAACGGGAACCAAATGCAGAACTAATTATAAGCTACTTTATTATAATACTAGCGCGGAAGCCCGGCTTCGCCTAACGGTTCGTTGCCCTTTATTAATCTACTTAAAGTTCATAGTAGTTATTCATGAAAATTATGACATTTACAATGCCTAAGTCATATTTGATCTCCTGGGACGGGGAAGAACATTGTTCAGCAGGACGACGGATAAGTAAGAAAAAGTTAAAGAACCATAAGTTTAGGCTCATTCTGGTTCCTACAAACAAATTTGTCAATGCCATTAACGACAGAATTAGCCATCCTCATCCGAGTGAGGAAAAACTGTACAATTCATTCGGTACAATGGTTGACCCTTCCGACTGTGTTAATTATCCAGTAGAATTCCTCAACAGCTTGGAAAGATCTGGCGCTCCATCACACAAATTAGTTCGGAAGGTTGGTGCACCAATAATG